CAACCTCAACACATATGAAACACATCTAAGTGGAGACCCAGTTATTTCTCTGCCAGCCTGGAAGTGTAGACTTAAGGGTCAGGAGTGCTTGTTCTGGCCACTCCCCAGGGTTAGCACAAACCTTCCGCCCCTCACCCCCCATCCCCCATACAACCTGTGTTAAGAGTTTGCCCAAGGCTGTGTCCTGTAGTACTTTCTGTTGCAGAAATTATTTATTTAATCTGAATCCTGGTGTTTCTACCCCACCTTGGACCCTTTAGTTCCCGGATAAAACACACATAGCCTTTATATTCACAATAAGCCTTAAACAGCACAAGAGCTGGGAGAATGCCTACCTTCCATGTTATTAGAATCTACTTTCCTATTGATAACCCTGAATTATTACTTACTATTTACTGTTTTATCTACCTGCTCTTAGCTCCAGTTGGCCAGCCCTCAGTGTTTGCACGGCTCACATAATCCATGGCATCTCCTTCTCCTGCACCTTCTTTTTCAAACCCCACCTGTGTCTCTTCTGCCCAGCTATTGGCTGTTGGCATCTTTCTTTACCAATCAGAAATAACTTGGGGGCAGGACTCTCTCATCTCTGGGGCCCAGAATGCAAGTAGCATTCAACAGCTTTGCACTGCTGCTCTGCGTAAAGCACCAGAAGGTGCCTCCCAGCACCTCCGGCCTGTCATTTTGTACAGATCACACTCTGCAGGACTTAAAGGGGTTTTAAATGTTTCATTTATATTTTATATGAGGGAAACTTTTGTTTAAAACCATAAATAAGAGTTTATAGTACTTGTCTGACTTTGGTCACTGTGACCAAATGCCCAAGAGAACCAACCGTGGGGAGGAAGGATTGACTCATGGTTTTCCAAATTTCAGCCTATCGTGGTGAAAGAGGGCATGGTGGAGCAGAGGAGACAGAGGCACAGGGAGAAAGACACGGAGAGATACAGAGAGAATACGCCTATGTTGCAGGTTCCCTTCTTTCTCCCACTATTACTCCATCTGTCTCCCAGACTACACAACAGTGCCACCCACGTTCAGACACACTCTGTGTCAGCTTCCCTTTCTCCTAGGTGACTAATAAATTCGGTCAAGTTAACACCCAGAATTAACTGTGCCGATGCTTTATTTCATATTATAGAAGGAACATCATCCTTACTGGAAAGAGTATACTGATATATTATATGCATATACTCTTACGATATATTTTGTATCCATTAAAGATAAATATTTTACCAGGCACAGTGGTGCACACCTTTAGTCCCAGCACTTGGGAGGCAGAGGCAGGCAGAACCCTTTTGCCCCCAAAGTATTTAAAAATAAAAAGGTTTAAAATGTAGGCAGAGCAGCTTGGCTGACACACAGGTAATCTGAGTGCCAGTGACTGCTATGATGGGGGGTGGAGGTGGTGGAGCTGTGGTGGACGCTGGTGTGGAGGTGGCCCCCTTCACTGCTGAATCATCTAACACTGAAAATGTCAGCTGTCCCCCAGGCAAGGAGGGGATCCCAGCCAGTGAGGGTATCCAAGGCCAGTCCCCAGCTGGGCCTTTTGTTTGTAGCTGATTCCTGCTGGAACAGCACCTGCAGCTGGAGGAGATGCTTGACTTAATTAAAGGGGCATCATTGTCTCCTTCTGGAGATGAGTGGATTTGGCCTATGGCTTTTGAAGGCACTGGCTGCCTTCTCCTGCCTTTGATCTGCCTCAGGCTTGGCCTCCCCCATGGCCTTTTGGATTCTCCAGGGGAGTGGCCTATGCCTGACTCCTGCAGGGCAGTCTGAGCCCTCCTCCCAGGTCTCCCCTGCTGTCTGCTGAGGACCAGGCAGCAAGTGGAAAGTGGCATCTTTGTTTCTGCTATTTCTAGCAGAAAGAAAAAACATGTGGGCTGGCCTAATGTTAAATTGATGTAAAGCCGATTAATGAAAGAAACTGTTTTATCATTTTTTTCCCCTTTGAACCAAACCATTTTAGTTTTGGACACGTGCACACGTGTCTCAATAAGGGGCTGATGGTCAAAGTTTGCGTAATCATTTTGAGCTTTAAGAAGTAAACAGGGTAGGTGGGTGGGTCTGGAGAGGACAGGGAGGAGTGTTTGGAGACTAAAGCCACTGTTACTCCTGAAGGAGTCCTCAGGTGGCTAGAGTTGCCTCCGAGCGGCCTTTCTTCTAAGCAGCCCTTTTCCTCATTCCACATTCTCTTTCCAAACATTTCATTCCTTTGCAAAGTGAAGACTGTTATGTAACTTTCCTGGGGAAATGCGGACAAATGCCCGCTCATCCCAGATACGTGCCACTGACAGAAGGAAGAAAATCCCCGACATTATTGGGGTTTCTTACAGGAGTTCCATACTAGGGCACTAGTGCCTGACTCAGGGCACTTGTACCATTGAAAACCCACCCAGCAGGAGTGACAACTTGCTCACAAAAGCTGCGTCCTGGAGACCATGTCTAGTTTGCAGACAGCTCAGCCAGTCTGAGGAAAGGAGAGTAGCCTTTCCTCAGCAATTGTTACTACTTAGTCATTAAAATTGCTAACCATCATCATTATTGTTACTATTACTGTTGTTACTGTTGTTGTTATATGTGTATCTATCAAGGGACAACTTGCAGGAGGTGGCTCTCTTGTCACCATTTGGGCCCTGGGATTGAAGTCAGATCATCAGGTGTGGTGGTTCATTTACTTGCTGAACTCTCTTTCTCCAGCCTGTTACTGCTTACAAGATGTAAATCTTACCTTTCAGAAGCTTCCTTCCCGTGACTTTTGTTTTGTTTACTTCCTGGGCCTTGTGTGCTTCCTTAACTTTCTTAGTCTTAGGAGCTAGCTTTCTTTGTAGGAAGGACTGTTTTCATTCATAGGAAAGTTACCCACAGTCTGTTACCTCAGCCAGTTGGAAGAGGTAAAGGACATTCTGCACAGAGTTCTGTCCTCACTCTCGCCTCTGGAGTTCATCTCTGTGACTGGCATGTGTCCTGGGCCATAGACCCTGCAGTGGGCACATGCATGGCCCAAAGTTTCTGAAGCTCCATGGACATACTCCATGTGTCCATACCTTCTCTGTCTTTCTTGGATGTCTTTCTTAGATGCCTGCACTCCCCAGGGGCTCACTCCAATCTTTTGTGCCCTGAGATGGGTCTTGGGGACACAGAGTTAGCAGAGATGCCAGGCATAACCCAATCATAGTCTAGTGAGATTTTCATGGGGGGGGGGAGAAATAAAACATCTCAAGTTGAGATAAGTAAAGGATTCCCAGCCAGTGGTGTCTCGTGGGGATGTGAAAAGCTTTCAGAAGCCTAGCTGTAGGAGATGGGAGAGGGGGGTGACACAGGGTGAACCCCTTTACTTGAATTCCATACCTCACACACTGAGCTGCACCCCAGTCCCAAGCTTTGACTGCCAACACTGTTTCCCCGGTGCTCTGTCCCCAGCAATTCCTCACTGGCATTGTCCTGCTTAGTTTTACTGAAGGAATGTGGAGATGCTGGGATAGCTGGTGTCCCATGGGCCTGGGGGGGGGGGTACCTGGGGGAACAGGGTAGGTGGCAGCTCCTCCTCTTCTGGTGCCGGAAGCTACAGGGGCTGCAGACCCAGAAGCAAGGAGACATGGTCTGCATCAGGTGGAGAGGTGGAGAACTGAGGTGGGTTCTGGGAGGAGGGTGACAGGGATGTTGGTGTAAGGTATGTTCCAGGATAGAGTAGCTCTTCCTCAGCGTGTGCTGGTCTGGAAGAGCAGGTGCTGGTGCCAAGACTGGGACAGGCTTTGTTTCTGGGAGGTGGAAGTCACTGTAGGCTGAAGTCCAGAAGAGATGAGACCAGACCATGTCTTAACCACAAGCTCTAGCTGCTTGGAGTATAAACTCTCTCTCTGTCTCTCTCTGTCTCTCTCTCTCTGTCACTCTCTCTGTCTGTCTCTCTGTCTCTCTCTGTCTCTCTGTCACTCTCTCTGTCTGTCTCTCTGTCTCTCTCTGTCTCTCTCTCTCTCTCTGTGTAGCAGAGGATTATAAAAGTGCTGGTTACCTAGGAGAAAGGGGGAATCACAGAGTTATTTACCCACTCCAGGGCTTGGGTTTGGGGAAGAAAAAGTCAGTATGAGTTCAGAAAAGAAGAGAGAGCACATGAGCTTACATTTCAGACAGAAACCAGAATGAATGTGCCAGCTGAGCTAACCATCAGACTGAGGAGGAGGAGGAGGAGGAGGAGGAGGAGGAGGAGGAGGAGGAGGAGGAGAGCATCTACTGCATCTGACTGCATGGAGCCCATTTGTCACCCTTCCTGAGTGCAGTTTTCCTTGGTGGGGGACACCAACGAGGAGCTGGTGTGGTGGTGGCTGTAAGATGACACCCCACCCCCCAACCGTAGGGCAGCTGCTGCTGTGAAGTGGTGACCTAGCTATGGTGACACACACTGTAGGAATCATAGTGTGTCCCTTTGGGGTCACATCTCCACACAGCTCCTGCTTCCAAGGTGCTAGGGACACATAGAACACCACACCCTTGTGGATGGGCAGCTGTGATGAGTTGGAGCTCTTTAGGACTTTCCCTATCCTTACTGGGTCCCAGTGGGAGACAGCTGTTGTCCTTTTAGGCTCTGAAGAGCAGTAAGTACTAAGCAGCCATCTAGTCTAGTGGGAGACTGGCCACTTGTCTACTCTGTAGCTCAGGACATCCTGGGATACTCACATACTTTTTCTATAACTCTCCAGAGTATGACTGCTGTGTAGATAATGGCAGTGTGGTGACTGGGGCAGGTGTGTGTGTGTGTGTGTGTGTGTTAAAAGCCCTTGTACCAGGCTTTTGATAGGCCTATTAGGTATTGAGGCTTGGAGACCTAGGTAAGAGCTGACTTACCCATGGCCCAGGGGGTGCTCCTCTGAGCCCACCAACTTAGAGGGCTAACAAGCCCAGCTGCTTCTGCACGGTCAAGTGGGGCCTAGAGTAAATTGCGGGCAGTCGCCATGGTGGCCAGGATATCGAGCTCTGCCGTCCTCATTTTTACCCTTTCTCTCTAGGCCTTTTCCATCGGAGGAGACAGCGGAAAACGATGACGAGGTCTACCGGAGCCTGGAAGAGCTGGCTGAGTAAGCAGAGGAAGGATGATGTGTAGCACGGGGGAAGGATGATGTGTAGCACGGGGAAGGATGGTGTGTAGCACGGGGAAGGATGGTGTGTAGCACGGGGGAAGGATGGTGTGTAGCACGGGGGAGGATGGTGTGTAGCACGGGGGAAGGATGGTGTGTAGCACGGGGGAGGAGCCCCAGGTCATCAGTGGGGAAAGCTGCTCTCAAGGCAGAGCCAGCCTTGACTGTCCTTTCTGTGATGTACCTGCCAGAAGCTGGGGTTTCTGCATGGCTGAGTTACAGGCATCCTGCCTACTAGGCACCCTCTGCCTTCTAGGAGGCTGCCCAGCTGCCTTGGTGTCTGTTGGCCATTGGTGGCTTTTCTCTTGGAGTGTTTCCTCTGTGGAGCTTGTGGGAGTGGCACTGGGCAGGCAGCCCAGGTGAGGTGTCCTTGTGTTCCTCTTCCCTGGCCTTTGAGTACCACACTAGGTAGGCTTTAAAAAGAGTGGGGTTTGTGGCTCAGATGGTCTTACAGCTTCCTGCTTAGACTGTTTCTGGCAGGAGAGAGAGCTGGTTCTTTATCTCCTAATGGCCCCATGTAGTTTAATTCCTCTGAGGATTTTTTTCTCTACCAAATACAGGCCAGGCTGGGTCATTTCCCCAAAGGGTTGATAGAGCCTTTGGCCTAACTCTTAAGCCTGCTGTGGTCAGGTGAGTGGGATCATGTGGCTGGTGTGGGATTACCCAGCTCACTGCCTGTGAGGGGAGATAGCCCACCTTGAGCCTAACAGTGGGAAGGAGAGAGGGGCTAAAAAGCCAATTCTGACAGGGAGGGAACCAGGTTAAGAGGAGCTGGGCCTGCCCAGGTCCTAGTTTGTTATTGTTAGGTCCTAACTTCTGTGTCTGCTTTTCTCCCAAGCCCGGGCCTCCTTTGTGCCTCCTGATAGACTGCTGTCTTCATTTTTACCACATATATTGCCTTGTTCTGAGATAAATATGGTCCTTCTGAGGACACTATGGCTATCCCCCAACCCCCTTCCCCATTGTCTCTGCACTAACTCAGAAAGAAATCAAATGTGCTGGAGTTAGCGTGTTCTGAGCACCTACAGTTTAAGGGCCCATACTGGAACTTGCCAGATTCATATCTCTCTCCCCATCTGGGGTATCTTCAGAGATGGAGCCACTGTGTTTGGAAGGCCTGTTAGATGTTTCTAACCTTGTGACATTGTTATGATATAGTCATATACAAAGGTAATGCTCAAAGAGGCCCCCTCTCCCAATTATAATGTCTGAAACAAGTTTATAGTTTGTGTTGGGCAGCACTCATGGCTGTTCTGAGCTCCATGCAGCCCACAGACACGGTCTAATATGCCTGGAACTCATCTATAGCTTAGCTTGTCTGTCCTGGGCTGGCAGCCCTGTCATGCAGGTCTGTGAGAGCTGGAGGGTCCTCACCTGTAGGCAGAGGGAATTGGGCAGGAAGCCCAGAGTCCCTGCAGACATCTGATTAAATCCTACTGAGATATGAGTCCCTCCAAGGGAAAGTGTTCCATGAAACTCATCCAAGGCCTTGAGTCCATTGCCTGTCATGCTAGATACTGCTATGACTCTGACCCATCTCTAGAGTTGGACAGGGACTTGGGACGCTCAGATGCAGGCAGAGCACCATAGGGGTTCAGGATGGGGGCTGGGCATTCAGGCTGTGCCCTAACCTGTGCTCCAAGTTGTGTGATCCCATGATGACTGGGGAGCTCTGATGCTGAGAACAGTTCTGATGGGCCTCCTAAGTCTTCATCTGTATTTTCGGGCTGTGTCCCTCAGGTCAATACAGACTGGGATTTGGAAGGATCCTATAGCTCTTGTGCATCCAGAGCCAGATATGAAATAGCCTGATGCCCTCTCATGTTTTTCCAGACTGCACTCTTGGAGGAGGCCTGTGTAGCATGGTGCATTTCAGTTTCAAGGACTCACGTGTGATAAGGCTGCCTGGAACCTGGGCACCCACCTCCCTCTTTCCCAGACTCCTTTGGTTTGGTCTCTATCCAAACCAAACTGGAAATGCTCCCATGGGAATGCAAGTGGGAGAACATGTAGCCTGGCCCAGCCAAAAGCTGCTCCTCAGGGACGTTCACACTCAGCCCCTTAATCCTTAACTCTGCAGTTACTGCAAATCTGAAGCAGAAATCACAGGCAAAGAGGGTGCGTCTGAGCCTTTAACGTGCAGTTTAGTCCCAGTGGCTGAAGTTTATTAAATCTTCTTTGCGTGTTTTCCGTCCTTCCTCTTCTTTCCTTGGAAGGCAGATTACCTGGCACCCATCTCTTTGGAAATGGTAGTAATGTTTGCCCATTACACAAACAGCCTGCCTGAGGAGGGCATGAGGTAGCAACTGGGTAGCAGCTGTGTATGCGTGTGTGTAGCAGGGCACATTTCAGAGTATAAGGGACAGAATCCATAATGGTGATCATGTTACATGTCTATTAGGACCGTTCCAGCCACCCTGACCCAAACACTGCAGCCTATGGTAGTAGAGATAGGGGTGTTAAGCTCTGACTTCTTGCTGTGGCTTACTCCTCGGAGTTCCATGTGTGGTCTGTTCAGGGACCACTGTCTGCAGTGACTCAGCCATGCTGACTAATTCAGTTGCTGCCTGGCTACTGAACCTTGTATGTCTTGTCTAGCCAGGACCAGGCATTTCAATATGAAAGTGAGGTGTGTGGAAGCACAAAGGGAATTTTGGGACAAGGTGGATGAGTCTCAAGGGACAGGCACAGGCTACCTCTGTGTCCCTGGCTGAGGGCTCCTAGGTCTCCATGTAGCATCTCCCCACACTCAGAAAGGCCTTCCCGTGAGAGCTGCCTAGAGCGTTTAAACCCCACAGCATATAGACTAGCCATGTCTAGAGCCACCTTCCAACCCACCTGAGGATGGTCCTGGTTGTCTGCTTGGCCCATTCACTCCTGGAGCTGTGGGCCGAGCCTTAGCACAGTCATTGCCTGCCCTTGTGGTCTTGGCAGGCTGCTTGCTTTGATGTGCCTCGGTTTCCTTCTCTGTAAAACATGACGTTAGTATGTGCTGGGAGGGTCTTTTGGGAAAATGGACAGCAGCACCAGATGGTATAAGTGAACCACAGCGTGCTCACAGCTACCGTGAGCACCTGGGGGCTCCTACCTGATCTGCCCCATTGACCACGAGTACCCCTCTCCCCGACTTTTGAGTGGCTGTGGCAATGCCATGGGGAGGAAATGAAACATACATTGCATATGTGACTGCTGGATTTTAGTAGCTACACCAAAAACATAAGAAGAAACAGGTGAAATTAATCTGAAGAATGTGTTTTATTTGAACCGACTGACCCAAAATATTGCCAGAGCAATGTTATCTGCAGAATAACAGCTGCCAACAAGTAATTGAGTTTTCTATCACAGTCAGTCAGTCCCCTGGCTGGGCATATGCTGTGTGATCGGTCCACATCCGTTTGTCACATAACCACTGTGCATAACCCTGAGCCACTGAGCTGGGCTAGGGGCGTTAGGGGTCGTAGTCTCAAATGTCCTTCCAGGACTTGAGCAGGACCCCACTGGATAAGGCTCCCTTCTGAGGCGAGCACTCAAAGTTCCCTCTTCAGATTGTCAAGTAATTGTGTGATCAAGCAGTCAGAGCAGCTGGTTGAAACAATGCCCACAAAACATACCCACTTAAAAATGCCATTATTAAGCAAAATAAATCCAGAAGGAGAGGCCTGCTTTTCAATTTCTCTAAAAATTGGCACCCGGGTTTGCATAATGGCTTGCCTCTGGAAGTGTCTGATCCTACCGACCAAGCCTGGTTTTCACTCCCACCCCCGTCTACAGGACTGGTAGCTGCTTTATACAGGAGACCTGATGGCCCAGGGGCAATGTTACACATGAGGTGTAGCAGCCAGGGTCCTGGAGTCACAATGGTCTGGCTTTATCCCCTTGTTTTTCTCTTTTGGGGGCCCTTTGTGCCCAGGTGACATGGCTGGAGCATTCTCAGGGCCCAGGAAAGAAAAGGTATGCACCACCCATCTTGGGCTGTATAACTGTTCTGGCTGTGCTCTGTGTTACTGCCTCAGGTTGCTTAGTCCCTCCAAGGCCTTAGTTTCTTCATCTCCATACTGAAATATGCACAGATGTCTCTTTGAGGTTACAGACTCCACAGTCTGTCATGGCAGAGCCTGCTTTGTGCTGGCTCTGACATCATTGTCCTCTTGAGGTGAATTAGTTTGCAGCCTTAAACAAATGGGCTCATGCCAAGCCAGGGACTGTAATTTATCTTGAAGTATATAGCTGCATGATTTATTGCATTATAAAACAACTTTGCATCTTTTGGTGCTTCCTGTCAGCCTGGATGGGTAATTCTTAAGGTATATAAATGAAGGTGGTTTGGTGCCCTTCTATGCCTTGGGGGGAGTTGAGGCGGCAGGGTTGGCAGTGATCTGGGAGGTTGACCATGTTTCTCCCAGAGCTCCAAGCCTTGGCTACTTTGTGCAGTATTCTTAAACAGGAGAGAACAAGGACTGTATCCCTGCATGGGGCCCTCATTCGAGTGGAAGCCCTTCTCCACCCCAGCCCATGATCTTCCCTCTCTCATGGTCCTCCCTCTCTCATGGTCCTCCTCCTCTCATGGTCCTCCCTCTGTTCAACACTGTCAGAGACAGTTTGAAATCCATCTTCAGAGTTTTCAAGTTCAATGCTGCTCATGAGACCGGTGTGCTCAGAGCCTGGGGTTAGTTGGGTATGTTTAGGATGTTTTATGTTCACCCCAAGTAGCTTCTTTCCCAGAGGGGTTAGCTTTAAAGCTGACTTTACAGAAAAGGCCCAGTGGGAAGGAGGAATGAAAAGCCAGGCATAGTGGGCAATGCTATTATTACTTTGGAAGCTGAGATGGGAGAATCAGGAGTTCAAGGTTAGTCTGAGTCACATGAGACTCTCAAACAACAACAGAATGTTTCCAGGCTCCTTTAGAAAACACCACTGTTGACACACCCCTAGGAAAAGCT